CCCCCCCCCCCCCCCGTTTTTTTTTTAACACAAATTGACAGTTCACCGAAGGCTGGCTTAATCGGGGTACATCAGCATGATTAAGTATGGTTTAAAATTAAAATGTCTAAATACATTTTAAATTATGGTAGACATAAATTTTTCAGGAAAAAGTAGCGCTTATAAGAACGGTAATTACTATATGTGCATAGATCTCTCGCTCCCTCTTTTCTCTCTATCTCTCTCTCTGAAAAAAAATTACATGTATATGGAATATACCTTTTAATATTAAGACTTCTTAACATGAATTCAAATTTAAGCATTTGTAAATTGCTCAGAAAACAAAGATGCAGCATTTTCAATTTATTCATGCATCGACATGGTTTAAACGCTGTTCTTATCTCCATATCCTTCCTAGCAATGTGCATGTCCAATGTCCCGTATATCAACATCAAGTTAAATACTTAAAAATTATAAATTTACGTACTATAAAATAGTAATAAATGTCCTCAGTTAATTTAAAATTTTTTTTACACTTTGAAATTCAATTTTATTTCTAGTTCACGAAACGCAGTCAACTAAAACTTACTCCCGTGTTTACAATACCGCGACTTTGACGTCGTTTTCTGAGCATTGTGACGTCAAGAGATAAAAGCCCTTTTCTCATGACAGCAGTCTTGTTAATTGACATTACGTCTTTGATATACATAAAAGTCGAGTATTTTCTTTTTATGTATAAGTTTTAGATAAAATCTCACTTTGTGTGAATACAAAAATAGATCTGCTAATAACGGAGTGCAATTGGTAGCCATTGGCATTCAAATAGATTGTTGGAAGACCTATCTCCAAAAACCACATAGATATTGTCGAACTGAAATTCCAGCATCTTTTAAATATCAAATTCAGAATACTTGTGTGTATACAATTACGATAAATCTATCATAAAAATCGTTAAGCAAGATAATTTTGCAAATAACAAATGACAAGGTCACTGATTCACGAGTTCTACTTTTATTGAAAAAGCAGTTGTCAATGATGTAAAAAAGACTGGAATTTGATTCGTCGTGGGGATTGGTTGCATATAGTAACATACAGTTGAAAAAATCGTAGGTTTCTTGCTGTCAATTTTGGTGAAGTTTCCAATTTTCAAAAAGTTCTTTGGAATTTGCAAGTAAAACCGCTATCAATAAAGTACCAATATCTCGGCCTCCCAGCTTCATCTTTTAATATTATCTACAAGCTATTGAGTGAAATTACACTGATTTTTCATAAGACCTAAGGTTACAGCAAACATTGCATTATTGCAGAAAGGAATGCATTCTGGAAATATGTGTACATTCATTCAAGTAAAAAGATTTTTAGAAAATATGTCGGTATTCAGAAATATAGTCTTTTTATATTATAAGAAAAAACTTATTCATGAAATTAATAATTTCACTGTTAAATTGAAGCTAGGATAACAAACAATATTCAATATTAAAGTCTATAAAACAATACAAAATAGAAACAGAGTAAACACGGACCTCCAAAACATCAGAGGTGGGATCAGGTGTCATTGAAAAGAGAGCATTCCCTGCCAATTGGTCACACCGCCGTGTGCTCCTTGTCATCATCGGGAAATAACGGAAAAATCCATCGTCAATACAATGTAAAATTAACGAACTGACAATAAGAATGAAAAACGTCAGTCAACATTTGACCCAATGATAAAATTTTATTCGCTGACAAGGTCATTGTATCGACCATAAAACTTACAAAAAGATGACTTTAAATAAGTCCGCTGATATTCTTGTTTCATTAACTTGTTTGGCAATAATTTAACTCATTTTAGAAATTTTTAATACGTACTGTAGATCATGCTCTTGTACATCAAATCATCTGAGAAATATAAACTTCGTATGTAGGTGATGACGGTATATTGCTGCATAAGTAAGGGAAGTTGACGATAGAAAAAATAAGGTTAAGTCAAGTTAAATGTGTGTTTTGACGACTTTGATAACTGTAGCGAATTCACCCCTTTTTGACACTAAAGTTTTGAGAGTCCCTTGTGGCGTTCCTGTTATGTACTAGCATATAGTATTTCGCGTTGAAGGACACCCTTGCATTAAATTATATGACACTTTCTTTTCAAAACAAGTTATTAAATCATTTAAATATTCATTTCAAGGAGTATGATACAAAAAGAAAAATAAAGAAATGCACTCTTAAATCACCCACCCATATTTTCTAAATTCTGTCATATTATTTAATATTTCAGACGTCTTGCCAGTGAGATGGAATGTGCTGAACTTAGAAATTTGATCGTTTGAATGACCAACCCGGCGAGAAGGAAGGGGAAATTACTATCCATCCACTTCTGATTTGCACCATTTCTTGTTGCACAGTACTCCTTCACTGACGTTCATAGTTTAGTGCGAGTAAAGAAAGAGGCTAGATAGAGCATTTAATGGAACCTGCTATGTATCTTTGTTTGTAGGGATTTCTGTGAAGTTTTGATTATACATTTTTTTTCCAATATAGATATTGCAACCATTGAAATTTCCCACTGACGCTTTTCAGAAAATGTGAACAGTGCACTGAGTTTAGTTTTAGATCTAAGGGTCATCACCAAAGTTATCTGTCCGCATGCACCTCTGTATAATTCAACGATAAAAATTTCGTTAACAGGTCAAAAAAATATTTATACCGATCTATTGTTGGTCGTTTAACCTGGTTCCTACATGGAAACATTACAAGGACATCCTCTGAGCATGCGCCATTTTTATTCAAAAAGCAATAGAACAGACAGGAGATATATAAGGACATCAAGGTTAGTCACATTTCATTTATAAGCTAATTTCTCCTCCAATTCCAGTAAATTATTAGTATATAGTCTTTACTGAAAAAAAAAGTAAATCAGTGACTGCAGGCTGTGTCAGTTACATATTTTATGAGGTACATACTGATAAATTATGTTAATTAATTGTTATATAGCTTTAAACATCAATATACACTATTATTGTTCATTTTTCATTTTGAGATAACCTGTTTCCACTTGTACTAGAATAATCAGATATTTCAAACTATAACTCCTTACAAAGTTTTGCTTTATTTCTTTGGTATTTTGTACATAAAACTAGTTACGACTACTAAAAGTTTCACACGTGAATTTTAAAAATTAATTTCTTTTTTTAAAAAGTTATAATGATCAAAAAACAATTTTGCAAAAAGAAGAAAGGAATTTATTTCAAAGAAAATAAATCAATTCCCTTATTGTTTAGTTATTTTATTTTTGAGAACCAAATCTGAAATGAATCTACATGTCCATTTCTATTAAACTACTAAGTATCTCAAATTTGGAAGGTGACCTCCAGATTTTAAGATTATAAGTTAGCGTTTAAAATTCTTTCTTAAAGAGTAATAATCAATATACGCTCAAATCTGAATCCATCTAAAAGTAAATGTTTTGGAAATTCCTTCAAAAACCCGGGTGCCATATTCTGAAATGATTAACTTGTATTCATAAAAGTGTCAAAACTCCAAATGTTTTCAAGAAACAAGTAAAACAAAGGTAGCAATGCAATGTTTAAATGATTTTCAATAATATGTATTTAATTTTGTGTATGTATATTTATGATGTTTAAATCAAGTTATTTATATACTTAAAAAAAAAATAAAGTGTACCAATTATATTCTACTTTAAATCTATTCATTACTTTCCAATGAAGGTAAAATAAACAACATCACGCTATTTGGTATAGCAACGACATGTAGCAGCTTTATTGTACAAATAACATTGTAAAATATGAAACATCATAATTGTATACATGTATATCGTAATGTTAGATTGAATGAATATAGATAAAATTTGATCTTGTATCGTGCACTGCGTGTCGTCCTTGGCATTTAACAACTATTCACTATTGGGAGTTTCCTGCACTGATTATTCAGTCTGTTCTTCATGGGGGCAAATGAAGGTAGAAAAAAAGACATTTTTCTGCAAGAAAAAAAGCTCTCTGAATTTTTTCATAAAGGATGACTGCACTTAACGCTGTATTTAGGGTTTCTTCGATTACTTCTGTTGATTTTAAATCTTAACTTTATATATTTAGTACAGAATCATGTCAATTTGACACCCAATTTAACTTGAAAAAATAATTTTAGACTGTAATACAGTAATTAATTTCATGTGTTTTGTCCTTACGGTTTTACGAATACAGAGCATTTACACTTAGCTGCCCTTGATTGTACATTATTTATGTATGAGAGGCGGAGCTAACATCATAAGAATGAATCTAAATTTAGACTGGATGAATAACAATGACATGTATTTAAATATAAGAGATCTATATTTTCCATCTTCCTTTTTATTCTGTATTATGGCACAAGTAAAATATTTACAAAGGTTTAAAGCGTGTGAGCGTGAGCCCATCCATGTAAGTAAAGAATATTTTAAATCGATGGCTGACTATTTAACGTGTTCGACTACAGTGCCCTAGTTAGCTCAAAACATGCTACCAATAAGTCACGTGACGGAATTTAGTATTCACAACGTGTCCCAGTTCGGTTACAATAGATAGAGCCAGTGTAAGAAGAAGCATTTTTTCTCTTTTTAACCATGAGCGCATGTTCGTCTATTATTCTCCTTTGAACACAACATTATTTGTGCAAATATACAACAACTGTTAAAAGGAGAACAATAGAAAAACATGCGCTGACTATGTAAAAAAAGTGGGCGTCCTCATTATCGTACGGAGATTGAAGAAATTGTGGCGACCCCCGCCTTAGAAAACAAATTCATACATCGTAAATACATACTTTTATTTATTGTAATCAAGTAAAGTTGTAGATTAGATGATCATTTCTGCAATTGAAAGAAAAATATCTGTTTTAAAAGTTTATTTTGACGCAAATTTCGCATATCCTTAAGTGCAGCCATCCTTTATCAAAGTGCCCCGTTCATATTTTGGAATATTAGTGGATGCGTGCATTAGATATGAAAGAAAATTACTTTTTTGAAAAAGGGTGTGGTCATTTATTTGAACAAACTTGAATTTCCTTTACCCAAGAAAGCTTTGCGACGTTTAATTGAATAAAGCTCAGGGGTTCTGCAGAATAAGGGAAAGTGTGAAATGTTTAAAGACGAGATGATGCGATATGGATGGATGAATATAGACATTGGACTACATGAGATCTGAATTGCTCACTTGAACAAATCGGTTAAGGATTATTACAAATGTTTTTCAAATGTGATATTTGATATTCAGAAAATTGTTGATCAATGCTAAGAACACAATCTTGTAATGCCAATTTCTTTAATGTAGAATGGTATTGTATCGAGGTCAATTTTCTGGAGTACAGACATCGGTCCTCAAGTGTCCTGGAGCCCATATGTTTACAGTATATCACCACAGGGGTTCCTGTTGTAAATGTCATATTTATTAAGGAGAAAACAATTATTATAATTTCAATGACCATAAAAACAATGAAACGTAAGAAGATAATAAACAGTATACCAAATTAAAAGTCAATTTTTTCATGATTTTTACTACGTTTATACAAAAAAAGTAACAAGTTTCTTGATTTTTAAAAAATAGATAACCCCTAATGATCTGCAATAACTGACTCTTTAAAATAAAATTATTTTATATGAACATATAAAACTGTCATTGCCAATGCATTATTTTAAAATACTTTTAAAAATTTCAACAGTAAAATTATCTGCCCTTATATGACCCAACCTTAAGCTCAGGTGCCATGGTTTTTGTAATCTTGAATCGATACGAAACATAAATTCCGGTATCATGCAGAGAGTAAGATTAAGCTTACTGACAAATACTGAGTAAGTTGGTTTTACATGAATTCAACAACCACCTTTAAAGTCGGTAAGATTACCTTTTTAGCAAATATCGCTAATTATTTAAAGTTAGGGTTAGGGCGTATTTTGGTTGACGAGTTTTTTCCCAAATGTTAGACCTTTGTTTTTATGCTTATGTTCTGTCTGCCTAATTAATACGGTGTATGTGACCGGTCAACATGGGAAGCTCAATCCCTCTAGGCACCTGATTTAGGGGGTCATCTTGCTCACAAGTATAACTGATTACTCAGGGATTTTTAGAAGAAGTTAACATGTTGAACATTCACATTTAAACGAGAAAGACGGAATACAATTTTCGAAATGTTCACAGGTATATGAACCATTTTTTAAGCGGACTTCATTGTTTCAATATTTAAATATAAGATCCTTACATGTTCTTTGTTTTTAAGTATTTTGTTTTCAAATAAGCGAAATAAAATAATAAAACGTAAACAGAACAAAGCGCTAAATTTACCTCCAGTTTTCATTATATATTCTACTGTCTCCTTTCTAATTTTCACAGGTTCCATATCCCCTTCCAGTATAATGTTGCGTTCGTTAAAATCAATGAAGACAATGAAAACCTACAATTAAATACCAAAACAAAGGGTAGCATAATCAAGTAATTGTGTGCGTACAGTATTAAATATTCATTTCTATATCGGTGTTACCTTCGCATGGATTGTATGTAATTGACGTATATCCTTATTATCGTTGATAACAAAAGAATTGCAGGGGTCAATAAATTCTTTAGCTAATTCCATGTGAGAATTTCTACAGTCCCCACTAAAGCTAATTATTGCTTTATCCTGTCTCAAAATAGGGTTAAGACGTTTGAGGTCTTCATGCTGTTTCAACTGAAATTGAAGCAATTATTAAGCAACATGTTTATTTTATCTAGTGTTCAAAGGAAAAAAAATGTAAAAAGTTAGATTAAACTTTTTGCATTCCCTCTTAACTTTTCTAATTTTATGAAAGTTATTTACAGAGTTTACTGTCCAGTTTGTCTTGATGTTGGAGAGTAACAGGATTATGATGAGAGAGATCAGAAGGATATCCACTACAAAAGAAAACAAATACAAAGTATATCATTCGTAGGAAGGTAGTCCAGGAGAATTGATATTGTATGAAATATGGTAAATACCAACGCTGTCAAAAAAACCTTAAAAGCGATGCAATATAATTAATATTTATTTATTTACAAAGTATATTCCGTGAATAACTTTATCAACTGCCCTACAAAGATTTTCCATCATAAATAGCCGAATGATTGACAGTGGCAGATATTTCCTCCTATTGTTTCCCCAAGTCTCGACGTTCTTACTAACTGAAGGATTATTTAATTTGTTTATCATATCAGTTGTTTGTTTTTTCTTGGTTTTGATTAATTTGTCTAGATAACAAACAATACTCAAGGAAAAGTCTGTTCATGCTCAGTCAAAAATTCTAATATTATATTACATTGGTCCTTACATCATTTCAATTTTTTCATATGTTGTGAGGTGTGTTGTATTTGTATTGTTTCATCATGTATATTATTAGTAACATTAAGTTTCTTGAACATTCCAGAGTGGTCAACATGTTCGGTCATTTTTTCTAGAACATTCTTGAACTTTGTGTATGTCCAGAACTTTCCAGTAATATCATGTACTTACAACTTCTAGAATTTTCTAGATTTATAGTACTGTATAAATATCCTGTCAATTCGATGCATAAACAATAATTTGTCGTATAAGTAACATTGATGTACAGGTGTATAAAAAGACTGGGATATAATTACACTGGACATTGTGTGCAGCAACGGACACTCTGATGTATGTATTTTTAGATTCTTGCTAAGTTTGTACTTTATGATTTGTATATATTAATGTTAATAAATTATTGTTAAGTTTAAATTGTGTGATTGATCTTTGCTGGCATTTAGGGTTATTCTGACCCATAACAGAATTGGGGGCTCGTCCGGGTTATAGAATTTCTTGCACTTTTGCAATTTATTGTCAGAATTTTGTTAATTGAATCGTTAAATTAAATTATAAGCCAGCAGAAATCAACATGGTGTTTTCGGTCACAGACTTTCTTAATTCACCAAGTGTTCAGGTTTTTGATACGTTAAAAAAGGATGACTTGATCGCATTAGGTTTGCATCTTGGGTTAGATGTTAAATCCTCTCAGAAAAAGCAAGATATTAGAATAAAGGTTGCAAACAAATTAGTAGAAGAAAACATCTTTGAAAAATACGAACTTCCAGAATATACAGTTAAATCAGAGTTAGGCTCTTATAAAATGGCAGAATATCAGTTTCAAGCAGAGTTAGAGAAAATGCGATTTGAAAGAGAAAAATTAAAAAGAGAAGATCGAGAAAGGGAAAGAGAAGAGCGAGAAAGAGAAGAACGAGAGCATGAACGAAAATTTGAATTAGACAAATTAGAAAGACAAGAGCGAGAAAGAGAGCGTGAAATGAACTTTGAATTAGAGAAATTAAAATTACAGCACCAACCAGAACCGTCAATACGTAATATCGCGACTACCAATAAGTACCTCGCAGTTAGCTAACTTACTACCGCTCTTTTGCGGGGGAGTCGAGAAAGGTCTAAATTTCTGGGGCACATGACATTGTTTACAGTAGTGACAATCAACTGATTCCAACAATTTAATGCCGAAATCACAAAGTTTTGCCAGATATTGAACTCCAAATAGTACATTGTCATATAAGGAAAGTTTAGAATATTTTATCTGCTCGAAAATGTGACGATTTTCAATGAAAATTTAACTAGAAGAGTCCGCTTAATTAAAAATATCGTTAAAAATGTAACAATTTAGGATTGGCTCCTCTCAAAAATTTATTAGGCTGGTTCAGCGATTGTTTAGCAAAGTATTCCACCAGGATTTTTTACTTATCTGTCCTTGTAAATGCTACAATGATCGATCTTGCATTATATTAAATAGCACATTTGCCCCAACCCAACAGACGTTTCCTACCTCCATCGCGAAAGAGGTCTGCAAAGTTAAGTAATCGCGATATCAAGTATTGTCAAAACTGAATTTGACGCAGCAAAAAATATCAGATTAGTTCCAAAATTTCAAGAAAAATCTGTAGACAAGTATTTTCCCCAATTCGAAAAGGTCGCAGAGAATCTTAAATGGCCACGGAATGTTTGGTCAACGATGTTACAAAGTGTACTGGTTGGAAAAGCGGCTGAGGTATACTCTGCATTAGGGGTAGTTGAGAGTTCAGACTATGAGAAGGTCAAAGCAGCAATATTAAAAGCATATGAATTAGTACCTGAAGCGTATAGACAAAAGTTCAGAAAGTATAGAAAGTTTGATAATCAAACATTTGTTGAATTTTCACGAGAGAAAGAAGATTTATTCGATCACTGGTTTAGATCTAAGAAACTTGATAAAACTTTTGCTAATTTGCGCCAAGTCATCCTGGTAGAAGAGTTTAAGGAATGTGTTCCTCAAGATTTGAAAACACATCTAGAAGATAAGAATGTGAAAACTCTTGAAGAGGCAGCAGTCATATCTGATACTTATGCTCTGTCTCATAAAAAGAATTTTGTTTCAAGATCTCAGTCTAGCAATAATTCTACAAATTCAGACACATATAAAAAGAGTGGTTCAGGGTCTCAGTCTTCCACAATTTCCCAGTCTCCATCCCAAGGTGGTTTTAAGTCCGGTCCAGGACGTTTTGAAGGATCATCTGGAATAGGGTCGCTTCCTACGTGTAGTTATTGTAAGAAAAAAGGTCATCTGATCAGTGAATGCTTTAAACTTAAGAGAAAAAATGATTTTGATAAAACTCAACCACACGCTTGTGCGGCAGTTAGAGGTGATAGAGAAGCCTTAGTTTCGATTTGTTCTGACACTCCTGATGTCCAGGGTTCACAGTCCAGTTCTATTGATTCTATGGAGGATTATAAGCCCTTTATGTCTCAGGGATTTGTTTCACTCGGTGATTCTAGCGAAATTAAACCTGTCCAGATTTTGAGAGATACTGGTGCTGCACAGACGTTATTGTTAGAGGGCGTGCTTCCTTTGTCTGAGCAGACTTCTACTGGTGGGTCAGTTTTATTACAGGGTGCAGAGCTAGGCGTCATTGATGTTCCCCTGCAGATAATTTGTTTGAAGTCAGATTTAGTTACTGGACCTGTTACTGTAGGAGTTTGACCTACTCTTCCCGTTCCAGGCATTTCCTTGCTGCTTGGCAACGATTTAGCTGGTGGAAAAGTTGTACCAGATCCTATAGTTTCTGAGAAAATCACTTTAGATGTCATGTGTAATGATGAAGATGATGACATATATCCAGCCTGTGCTGTTACCAGAGCAATGGCCAAAAGACGAGAAATGGAGGCAGACCATACTCAAGCCTTTGACAGTGCAAATTCTTCTACTGATATTGATTTGAATGACACTTTCTTATCTGACCTTGATGGCACTCAAACAAGCATGGAACCACACAATATCAAGAAGTCGGTGACGAATGAACCTTTATCAAAATTTAGTGGTGATGAAGATGAGTTAAATCTACCAGAAAGCCAAGGCAAGGATATCATAAGCCGAGAGCAGTTACTTTCAGCACAACATAAAGACCCAGATATCATTCAACTTAGTAAGAGGGCACTTCCACCAGAAGAGACCACTAAAGTTGGAGAATGTTTCTATATGAAAGATGGCATCCTTATGCGAAAATGGCGACCACCTGACGCTTCCCCAGACGAAGTGTGGCGTGTTGTTCACCAAATAGTGGTACCAGCTGCTTATCGTCAAGATGTAGTGAGTTTAGCTCATGATACACCTATGGCAGGTCATTTAGGTGTCAATAAGACTTATAATAGGATTTTGAGTCATTTTTATTGGCCTAAGCTAAGAAAGGATGTTTCGAAGTTTTGCAAGTCATGTCATGTTTGTCAGATGGTAGGTAAACCGAATCAGAAGATACCATCCGCCCCTCTCCAACCAATTCCAGCTTTTGAAGAACCGTTTTGTCGAGTGTTGGTGGATTGTGTAGGACCTTTGCCTAGGACTAGATCTGGGAACCAGTATTTACTTACCATTATGTGTACATCCACTCGATTTCCTGAAGCCATACCTCTTAGGAATATAAAGGCAAAGAGCATAGTTAAGGCCCTAACCAATTTTTCAGTTTTGTAGGAGCACCCAAGGCAATTCAGTCGGATCAAGGCTCAAATTTTATGTCGGGGTTGTTCCAGCAAGTCATGCATGAGTTGGGTATAAGGCAATATAGATCAACTGCTTATCATCCTGAGTCCCAGGGGGTGCTAGAACGTTTTCACCAGACCTTAAAAACAATGCTGAAGACCTATTGTTATCAGTATGAGAAAGACTGGGATGAAGGGGTTCATCTTGTGCTATTTGCTGCACGAGAAGCAGTCCAGGAGTCTCTTGGGTTCAGTCCTTTTGAATTGGTGTTTGGTCATACAGTTAGAGGACCTTTGAAATTGTTGAAGGAAAACTGGCTGACTGAGACTAGTGATCTTAATCTTTTAGATTATGTGTCTGATTTCAAAGAAAAACTTTACAATGCTTGTAAATTAGCACAAGAAAATTTGAAGAGTTCTCAGATGAAAATGAAAATGTGGTATGACAAATATGCCAGAAATAGGGTGTTTAAGCCAGGTGATAAGGTTCTTGTATTTTTACCTATTCCTGGTCATCCTTTACAGGCCAGATATTACGGCCCTTATGAAATTGAAAGCAAGATTAGTGATGTAAACTATGTAGTTAAGACACCAGGTCGACGTAAAGAGAAACGGGTTTGTCACATAAACATGTTGAAAGAGTATTTTGAAAGGTGTGACCGAAATTCTGTAAAACCAGTTTCCACTTTAGCCGATGCTAAGACTGTTCAAAATTGTATTGAAAGTAATACGAGTGTAGAAATGAATGAGAAAGATTGTAATCAGAGTGTTCGTTTGAAAAACTCAGAAGTTTTGGCTAATTTGGATGCTAAACTTGGACATTTGAACATTCACCAAAAAGAACAAGTTAAAAACTTGATGAGTGAGTATCATCAAATCTTTTCGAATGTTCCAAAGAAAACTAATGCAGCTTGTCATGATGTCATAGTGGGTGACGCTCTGCCTATCAAACAACATCCGTACCGTCTTAATCCAATAAAATTGCAGCACCTAAGAAGGGAAGTGCAGTACATGTTGGACAATGACATTGTCGAACCTAGTAAAAGTAACTGGAGCTCATCATGTATTCTTGTATCAAAACAGGACGGTACCTACCGATTATGTACAGACTTTAGAAAGGTGAATTCTGTTACCAAAACTGATTCATATCCAGTACCAAGAATCGATGACTGTATTGACAACATTGGAAACGCGAAATTTGTCAGTAAATTTGACCTGTTGAAAGGCTACTGGCAAGTGCCGTTAACAGAAAGAGCAAAAGAAATATCTGCTTTTGCTACACCAGACGGACTTTACCAGTATAAAGTAATGCCCTTTGGCATGAAAAACGCACCAGCTACATTCCAAAGGATGATTCACTCCCTTCTTCAAGACCTCGAGGGATGCGAGGCCTACATTGATGATGTCATCATATACAGCGACACATGGGACGAACATCTCCGAATCATGCGTGCTTTATTTGACATTTTAGCTAAAGCAAACTTAATTGTGAACCTTGAGAAGAGCGAATTTTGTCATGCTTATGTAGAGTATTTAGGTCATAAAGTAGGTCAAGGTTATGTTACACCCATTATGGCTAAAGTGGAAGCTATTGCAAAGTTCCCGATTCCTACAAACAAGAAAGAGTTAATGAGGTTTTTGGGCATGGCTGGATTTTACAGAAAATTTTGTCCAAATTTTTCCTCAGTAGTTAATCCACTTACAAATCTTTTACAAAAGAGGGTTAACTTTGAATGGACAAAGGATTGTGAAAAATCCTTTCATAAAATCAAATCTGTCCTTATGAGCAACCCAGTTCCGTCAACTCCAGATTTTTCTAAGCAATTTAAGCTTACTGTTGACGCTAGTGATGTTGGAATCGGGGCAGCTTTGTTTCAAGAACATAGTGATAAGGTAGATAGAGTTGTTTCTTATTTTTCAAAGAAACTTACAAAATGTCAACAAAAGTATTCCACCATTGAAAAGGAATGCCTTGCTTTGTTGTTAGCCTTACAGCATTTTGATGTTTATCTGAATGTTACATTGCATCCAATTCTTGTATATACTGATCACAACCCCCTGACATTTTTGCATAAATTGTCAAACAAAAATCAAAGACTGACTAGATGGAGTTTGTTGTTACAAGAATACAACATAACAATTAAGCATATCAAAGGCAAAGACAATGTTATTGCAGATGCCTTGTCCAGAGTATCATGAACAAATTAGAATTGTATTAATGTATATATATTTTACTTTAACAATATAAGTTTTCATTGACATTCAAACTTTTTAAGGGGGGAGGTGTTGTGAGGTGTGTTGTATTTGTATTGTTTCATCATGTATATTATTAGTAACATTAAGTTTCTTGAACATTCCAGAGTGGTCAACATGTTCGGTCATTTTTTCTAGAACATTCTTGAACTTTGTGTATGTCCAGAACTTTGCAGTAATATCATGTACTTACAACTTCTAGAATTTTCTAGATTTATAGTACTGTATAAATACCCTGTCAATTCGATGCATAAACAATAATTTGTCGTATAAGTAACATTGATGTACAGGTGTATAAAAAGACTGGGATATAATTACACTGGACATTGTGTGCAGCAACGGACACTCTGATGTATGTATTTTTAGATTCTTGCTAAGTTTGTACTTTATGATTTGTATATATTAATGTTAATAAATTATTGTTAAGTTTAAATTGTGTGATTGATCTTTGCTGGCATTTAGGGTTATTCTGACCCATAACACATAATAAAGAAGGATATGGAGATCACGAACAGGTGGGATCAGGTCCCACAGAGGAGTGAACATCCCCTGCTGACCGGTCACACACGCCGTGTGCTCCTTGTCATGATTGGGAAATAACGAAAAAAAAAATCCGTCGTCAATTCGATGTATAAATAATAATAATTAGTATGAAAAAAGTCAGTCAGCATTTGACTTAATGATAAATTGTATTTGCTGACAACATCATCGTATCGACCATAGAACTTATGAAATGATGACTTTAAACGAGACTGCTAATATTCTTGTTTCATCAACTTGCTTGTCAATAATTTAACTCGTTTTAGAAATTGTTCATACGTAGAACATGCTCTTGCTTAGCGAATCAACTGACATATATACATGTACACACCGTAAAACAACTGATTTAGCAAAGTAAAAGATGTCCTAACTTTTTTGGTACATAGTTATATCCCATATATAATTTTTACCCTTAAATTAGGATGTTGCGTTTCTATTGATAGTGAGTATCGTATTGGATTGCTTATTTCAAAATGAAATGGTCATGCAGAATATATTTTATGTTTCATTCATATCTTCATAATAAAATAATGAGTCAGCAGTGAGGTCATGTTACTTCATGAAACTTGTCTCGGATCATCATTATACTTGATGAACGGAGACAAATTGTATTATACATTATTAAAATATAATGATTTTTTTTTATGTGTGAAGTCTTACCATTAGTAAAGTTGTCATTTCTATCTTTGTTTATCTTGCTCTCCTTGTTAAACTTTTCCTCTTGGTTTTTCATTTGGTTATTAGTTTCAGAAACTTTGACCGAAAGTTCTGCGTAATTTTTAGAATGCATTTTATCGTTACTTTCACCATTGCTAACCCGTTTATTTAAATGACTGTGTTTGTTCTTAATTTCTCTTGTCTCTTTGGTTAAAGTCTTTAATCGTTGCGATGCCATTTTTTCCAAATTCTTGATTTTATTTTCAGATAGTTGCATCAAACTCATTCTTAGTTCCTTTTCACTTTTTAATTGTTGCTCTAAACTTTCAGACCGCTCTTTAATGGTCTCTAGGTCATCTTTATATTTCTCGATTTCATCTTCATATTTCTTTAATTTATCACTCATATCTTGTATCTTTTCCTCTAATCGATCTTGTTTATCTTTAAACAATGTTTGTTCTAGTTCTAATTCTTTGCTTTTCACATTCCGAAATCTTTCAAAAATATTTTTCTTCTCCTTTCCCATTTCGTTTTGGACCTTTGATATATTTCCATTTCCGTCCTCCAACTGTTTTCTTTCAAGGCCAAATAAGATGGAATGAATGCAAGGAATGATGAGGAAGGAAGCAAATATGATGATATAAATAATCGTATATCTTAGTATGAAAGCAACATTCTTCCAGGAAGAGGTGCCCTTTTGAGTCATAATATTTTTATGTTTTCCGTTCCCTCTATGCATTTTAGATGAATGCCTCTGCAAAACAATGTTGAAATGTATGTAATTAATTTAAAATTTACCACCTAAGACTAAGAAATTGAAGGGAAGCATTTGTATTCTATAAACACCAAAGAAATTGGAAAACCGCGAAAGTTTTTTTTTTATCTTTGAACACAATTTGTTTGTTCTTTCTATGTGACATAATTGGTTAGAATAAAATTAATTTTTTGGAAAAAATCAATTTTCTTTTAAACATTGATCATAAATGAAATAAAATGCTATTTTGTATTGTTAGTAATTTTATTTTCTCATCGGACGTTATGAAACATGCGCTATAAAGATCTTAAACCGTGAATAAAATAGAACACATATAAAAAAACACACATAATATGTACATGGCCAAATAAGAAGGCAACACTTAAAACAACTACAAACATATGTACATAACAAGAAGACACATATAAAACACTAATCCTTGTAAAAGGTCCCGTATGTTACAATATACGAGGGTTGATAGAAAAGTTCGCGGACAAGTTCTTTTGTGAGCGCGCTATTTCCATGAAAACGGTTAAACTCTCCAGATGAAAACTTTACCTGTTTTCCAATAAAAATACAAAGATTTGGTTGTTTTCCACTGATAATAAAAAAAATATACAGCTACATTATTTTGATGAAACATGCTTCACGTACGGAGCATGCTACTTTTTTAAACGTTCATATTACATAGACTTTTTAATGAAATTAAAAAATGCACAGTTGTAGCGCAAAGAGAATTATGAAATTTTACCGGCCGTTACAGTATTGATGAAACGTCACTTGGTGAAATTTTGAATTGAATTTGATGGCGTATGAATGTTTTATAGCTATTTCTACATAATCAGCAGGTAAAATGAAAGCCAAGAATGGAACGTCATTGCACGTCATGGAGCACCAAGCTACTAAAATTTATATGTGTAGACAGGAAAATGTCAAAAATAAACTAAAATGCTTCTATATGCTACTAAAAATTGTCTACACATAAAAAAGACAATAATATGCAATTAGTAGTGGCTTCATAAGAATGGAGGGATTAATTTTTTTTATTATCAAGTTTCATGCGATACCTCAGTAACCCCACTTAAGGCATGGAAGTTGCGGCTAAGGATTTTGCATTGTTTCCAAACCTGATGATCGCTTAACTCCGTAGACAATCATTTAAAGATCTCGCTAATATCCGAACAACAATTTAATTTTTAAGTAGAAAAAAGACATTTAAGGTATTTAGAACTAATAAAAATCTCACCGGGTTTAGAATATGGTTGTCACGTCACTAACGTCAAGTGATTGCTCCGTGAATCCTATGAGCGCATAGTAAAATCGTTGTAAATTTTAAAAGTTTTAGTAAATGAGCCTGATTATTTACATAAACAAAAGATAGGAATTTAATAAGACATAGGTCACACTTCACAGTAATTAATAGATTTTCCGTAAATCAAGGAGTCCGCGAACTTTTCTAACAACCCTCGTATGAATAAAAAAATCTTCAGGAATTAAAATAGTACTGAAGGATCAAATTAAGCTTACCATGGGACCAGGGTCCGCCATTATAAAACTTTGAGAATTCTCAAAAAAAATTCTCAACTCAAGTCTTGAGAATTACTCAGCTGAGAATTTAAGAATAAAACAGAGTTAAAGGGATTTTTATTTTTCTGAACTTTTTTATGACGGCCGCTGAGTCTGAGAATTTTGGATTTGAGAAATTTCTTAGACTTGAGAGCATTCTCAGACTTAAGTATGTTTTATGACGGCAGACTCTGTTCTCATTAATGTTTGCTCTGCTCAAAAGGATGACTGCACTTAAGGATATTAGAAATTTTTATGAATATTAACTTTCGAAATAGGCATTTTTTTTTAATTGAAGAAATGATCAAGTTCTAATCTACAACTTTACTTAATTACAATAAATAAAAGTATGTATTTATGATGTACAAATCTGTTTTCTGAGACGGTGGTCAACACAATTTATTCAGTCTCCGTACGATAATGAGGACGACCACTTTTTTTAAGTAGTCAGCGCATGTTTGTCTATTGTTCTTTTTTTAAAAGTAGTTGTATATTTGGATAAATGCTGTTGTATTAAAAGGAGATTAATAGACAAACATGCACTTATGGTTAAAAAGAGAAGAAAAACACTGCTTCTTCTTCTTTCTTCTCAGTTTCTCAGTCGAACACGTTAAATAGTCAGTCATCGATTTAAAATATTTTTTACTTACATGGATGGGATTATATGTTTTAAACCTTTTGTAAATAATGTACTTGTGTCACACATAATGTTCAATCATGGACAGGTAAGTGTAAATTCTCTGTATTTGGAAAACCGTAAGGACAAAAAAAACATGAAATTAATCATTGTGTTACAGTATAATATTATTTTTTACATTTACATTAGATGTCAAATTGACATACTTATGTTGTAAATATATAAAAGTGAAATTAAGTTAAAATTTAAAGGCAACAGAAGCATTCGAAAAATACCCAAAACACAGCTTTTAAATGCAGTCATCATTTGTATTGTTTAATTGGACTTTGAGAGTGATTACTATATGATAAATATTTTGCAGTTAATATTTCCACAACACAAAGATGATTTATTTTCTGCATATTGATTGAAGAAGATAAAAATGCTGACTTTATATATGGCAGAGAGTTTCTCATACATGAACGATTTTATTCCATACCTTTTTGTTCTTGGTTTTTGCACGTCTGCAGTATTTTCTTAGCTAAAATTGTAAAAATTATTTGTTAAAAACACTACTTTTTTTTTTTTTTTAAAAAAGCCCTTACCTTCAGAGAATTTCAAAGATTTTCAGAGCAATGGCTTTTAGTTTTTAACTATGGTAATTTTGACCAATTTTAATAATTTTAGAATAACTTTTACAATCTTTTTTTTAAAATAAATCTTTACGTCTTTTCTCGATTTTTTTTTTCAATTTTGCAATTATTTTGTTCAGTATTGATCAAAAGTGCTGGCCTACGTGTTTTAGGACATTCAGTTGCCTTGCTTCTTTTTTACAGACATTTGTAATACGTTTTTCAAAAGATATAAGATTCAAAATTAATTTCAATGCTTTGTTGTTTAACCTCATCATCATGGAATATTTACATGCCACAGAAATCAAACACGATTTGATTGGTTTTCTTTGTCCATAGGGATTATTATGCTTCATGCTACTCCCTCTCTCTATAATCAAAGGATTCATATAACGTAAGCATACTATGCTACAATAGGGCACACCTTTCTTTCTTTTAGAAAATCCGACAGCACACAAGCCATGGATCAAACTCACGTCCGCCAATCGTCAGTCCGACGCGCGACCGAATGCATTAGAAGCTGTTCGCTGATACGAGGGTTGTTCGAAAAGTTGTTAGACAGATGCGATAAAATTTATACTATGAAGTATATATATATATATATATATATATATATATATATATATATATATATATATATATATATATATATATATATATATATATATATATATATACACACAAAACTTTAAGTAAAATAAAGCAACAAAAGTTAGAAAAATGTTTAAAATTTTAGCTTGATATCTGAA